ACAATGCCTTTCAACCTCGTCCCTTTCGGGGTAAGGACAGATGGTGTTAACAGAGGACGACAGGACCCCGACAGAACAAAAAAGACGCAGGTTCATTAACGCAAGAGCCCCTTCCTTCTTGCACTGCACTGCCCTTCCTCATCCCCAGCCCTCGGAGGTGGTGGGTCAGGCTCGGGGGAAGAGTGAAACCAGCCTCAAACAAGCAGCAAATCAGCTCTCGCACCATGGGGAACCAATGTTCCCAACATCATCTGTGAACACGCAGGAGCAAACAATACCCCCCATGCCAATGAAGGCATTATGGAGGTACAAATGACCTGAGTCTGTGGTGGGACTGCAGGTTCCTTGGGATCCTGGTGCCTCGCAAGCCCCAAGCTCAGGGAAACTTCTCTGTTCGACCCCCGAGTGAATTCTGCAATGCGCACAAGAGGGGTCCTGTCCATTCTTGGGCTGTTTCCTCAACCAGGTGTTTGCCAGCCTTTTACTGCACCGAGATGAACAAAGCAGCTTAATCCCATTGGATTAGTGCTCTCAGACACACAAATACTGCTAATGCACACCTACGCTACCCTACGACTTCAAAACCAGATGCCCGAAAGGGAATGCAGTCTGAATCGCATCCCAGATCCTCTCGGACATCTGGGCCTGTAATTGGCTCATTAACAATTCTGCAATGGGAGGCATCCAACGCCCACATGAAATACAAATTTGGCCTTGCAAGATTTATGAGGGAGGAGGGAAGAGAGCCAATAAATTATCAGGGCAGTCTGAAAAGGCCAGGAAAGAGGAAAGTCGGAACGGAACATCCCCTCAAAATGTCACCATCAGATGTAAAAAGAAAATCCTAAAACCCTGGGAGCCAAACAGATGATCCAGGTCCTGAGTTCCTCGGCTGCCAGCCGTTTATTTCTCTTCTAAAACAATGAACGCTTGCTTTGCTCACGTAAAAAACATGCGTGCACCACACACACACACACACTTTTGGAAAGCTTCCAGTTTCTACTTATCTCAGAGCATTTAATCCTACTTGTAGAAGCTGCTGGTAGAAGTTTCCGCAGGCTTAGCACCAGCCTTCTGGCTGGGTAGAGGGGGCGGCATGTGTAATTCCAGCCCCAGATTATGTTAACTTGGCCATGTCCGTGCAAAACCATCGGGAGTTCCTTCGAGGGCCAGCTTTCCTACTCCAGAATCAACTAGGGACAGCAAAAAAGGCCTCCTCCATTGGATGTAAATCAGTGCACCGCGCATTTAAGCTACTCCACTTTCTTTCAGGAAAGTACATCCAAGTGATTCATTGGGGACAGGGCTGCTTGCAAGGGAGAGAGCAATTCTCCTCGGCATCTTGAAGCCACTCGGGCCGTCAAATTTAAAAAGCAATCAAGTTTACTAATATTCTCCTCATGCAGCCATTTACCTCAGTGAAGAACATGAGTCTTGGCAATTCCCATTTAAATGCACGAGGAGCAAATGAGGCTCGGCGCACCAAATCTGCAGAGCCTTTCCCACCATCACCCATATTTTATTTTCTTTCAAATAGAAGCACCCGCCCATTATTCACCTGTGTTCCACTGATGGTTGATAATTTAATAGAACACGATGCCAAGCCCAGGACAGATTGCAAGCTATAAATATGAATCTCCTGTAGATGGATTTCAGGACCATCGCAAGCCATCCTTTACAGCACCGTTTTAAAAGGGATAACATCCCAGGAAGGCAAAACGAATGCTGCGCAACGCAGAGAGAAATGGCTTCAGCTGCACCACGCAAAGGTTTGCTTACAAGTAGAAATTACCCACCGCTAAATATGGATTGCAGGGATAACGGATGGGATGACATGAAACAGAATGAAAAATGCACACTAGCTTGGCTCACCGAGCAGGGCGTCTTTCCCTAAACCAGTGTTTTTCAAACCTGGCCAAGATGGATGGACTTCAGCTCCCAGAACTCCCCAGCCATGCTGACTGGGGAATTCTGGGAGGTGAAGTCCACCCATCTGAAAACGGCCACGTCTGAAAAACGCTGCCCTAAATCAGTACTCCCCTTCCAGGGCTTTGCCTTATTGTCCTCAGTTTCTTTTCAACGTTTCGCTAAAGAGGCAGTGCTGCGACCAGATTCCAAATAAAAAGAAAATGCGGTTCCATCCAGAAGAAGCTGGGTAGCTAGATCTGAATCTGCAGTATTTCCTGGAGTGCCCCTGTTAGTGGATAGCTATTGCAAGGCCCAGAGTTAACACAGCCCAGCTACCGAACCACCATCTTGCCCTGGTTCATACAACCCATCGTCCCAGCAGATGATTTCACTCAGTGTGTTGTGTGAGCCTATCCGCGGCGCTTCATTTAATGACCAACACAATTCAGCCAACCAATCCTGAATGCATTGAATGGACACAGGCCTTCTTGTGATGCAGCAGTGGGCTCGATGGGACCCCCCAAACTGGAGCTAGTCCCCCAATGCTCACAAGGGCCCTTTTCTGAGAATCCAGCCTTCTTCCTCACCATCTTTCCAATTCCTCTCTTCACTCAAGTGGAAAAAGAAGGAGGAGCAGGCGAAGCAGATGGGGACCCTTTTTGCTGAGGGCAGCAAATTCCACCCCGGCAATGAAATGAGAAATATTCACAGCTCATCTGCATCTACCACAAGCAAACACAACACTGCAGCAGCGAAGGAATAGCACCCACTTACAGATTTATATCTGAAAACCATCTGCCCCATTCAGCAATTCAGCAAAGGTCACGCGGCACCGGTAACCCAATGCTTCTAGCTCTGGCGCGAGACATTTTAAAACAGAATCCCTCCGTCCCGTTGTGACCCCAATTTCTAGCCATCCTGGCCAATTCCCAACACTAGGCAGGACTCCACATTTTATTTAACCCTAACCTGACCATCAGCAATAGAGTTGCTAAGTTTCTATCTGCTGCAATTTCCATAAGACGACATAAAATGTCCTAAGCTTGGAGTGATGGCATTCTCTGCTCTTTGATTTGATTGCATTTCTATTTTTGTCTTCCTTTTTGTTACAAAAATTACAAAAAAAACAAACAGAATCCAAAAGCAGAAAAGGTAAACAGTGAAACAAGATGACATTTCTACTTCATCCTATTTTTGTTTTATATTGTCTTAGTCTGTTTTACTCAATTTCTCTCTCGCTCTGGTTTTAAATCTAAATATTTTAGGTGATCATTATACTGTTTTAGCTATTTCCAGTCATTGTTTCAGAGACTGCTGTTGTGGTGTTTAAGCTTGCTGGTTGCTGACCATAGTTAAATAAATCTGAAGTTGGCGAGGTAGGACTTGTGGGTGTGGTCTCATTTGGGAGCACCAAGGGGGAAAAAGTTGTTCCAAGTCAAAACTTGGGGGTACAACACCTCAAAAAGTACAGTCCCTGATCCTTCCTCCTTTGCTCACTCTCCAGTCATCCCCCCCAAAAAAGATCTCCCAACTCTTTCCTTCCTGTTGAGGTCTACCCCCTTCATGGGACCTCTACAAGTCACCCCTGGAAAAAGTCTACAGTATTATAATTGCAACAACTGTAAAAGTGAGATGATGCAGCGGTTCTAATCCATGACTACTTCTGGCTAGTAAGAGGTTCAGAAGATTAGGAACCAGTGAAATATATTGGCAAATCCAAATTATAATTCTAGATATGCCTCCACTGCAGCACAAGACAGTAAAAGATATTGAAGGTGGGTACCACCACAAATATTCCCCTTCCCACCATAAACGGGTGGTAGGAAGAAAAGATCCAGAATCAGAGGAAGCACTGTAAAAAAATACTAATCAGAAACTTAAGAATAAGGAGCGGTTAGGTTTCTGAAACCAGACGCTTCTCCCACAAGGAGGCCACAAGACTGAAGACCTGAGCTTGGAGCAGCAGCATATATAGAGACAGACAAGCTGTCATTGGCTGTTGTGGTCAGCTGACCAGACAAGCCCCGATTGGCTCCTGAGGCCAGGTGGGCTGATATCTCAGGATGGTTTCAGTAGTCCTTTTGCCCCAATCTGGTACCCTTCAGATGCATCGTAATTACAGTGACCAAACATCCGTTATTTCAGAAAGCTGTCCTTTAGATCTATTGGTTTTGCTCTTGAATTCTCAAAGCGATAAACGTAAACCATTAAAACTTGTTTATCCTTACGGACCTCTTTCAGATTGGCCCCTTTTCCCAGTTTCTCCTTTATTTTTTTCCAAGAAAATATGGTCACTGTAGCCATAATGCTTTGCCAACACAAAGGCATCCTTGTGAATGGTGCAATAATAGCCATAACGATAGTAATATTGCATTTAGATGCTGCCTGACTCCCAGGGGCTCTGGGCAGTTTACAAATTGTTCAAAACATTAAAAAACAAGGAACAACCCAAAGACAAGAGTTTCCTGCAGGAAACTCTGCAGGGAATCTTGCAAGCACCCATGTACTGCGTGTGACACACTCCTGTCTGTCTCCAGGGAGCTGGCACCACTGCTCAGGACAGGAGGGTCTCTTCCCGCTTTATCCTGTGGCTCCGGGACTCATCACTACAGACGTTAGGGATGTGCTTTCCATAACAACGAAGCCAACTCGGGGAGGGGTTTTTGGGATTCCTCAGATCCCCTGCCGGGGTGGGTCTTTTAAAGCAAAACACCATTTTCTGCACTCT